CTGTGTATCTAATGACTGGAATTGCCCAAGTGTTAATTGCCTTGATGGTATTTCCTCCACTTAGTTTGGACATTATTATTATTAATGTTGTTGTTGTTGTTATTATTTGCGTAGGAGACAACATGATTTTATGTGATTTTCTACCTCAGGTGCCAACTTAATTTGGCAGACCTACACACTTTGATGTTTGTGTGCATATTTACTGATTTAGTTTGCTAAGTAAAACATCTTGAGACCAACTCAAGATGTTTTATCTCCCCATCACAATAACCTGAAGTTTTCCTTATATAGTAAGCTTGGAGAAAGATATATCTGTTTTTGTTCATATACTGTGTGTATTTCCTGTCATTCCAAATCAACCAAACCTTTGAAATATAGATTCTTTATATGAGTCTTGTTTGATTTGCAGATTTTCCATTTCTAGTCAAAATCACTGATTTCGTCCAGGTTTAAGCCATGTGTAGTTTTAATAAGTCTGTCTCCTTGAAGTTAAGATAGTTATGTATGCTTACTTCTTTCTACAGTGTTACAGCCACCATTGGACATTTATCCTTCAGAACTCACCTTTCAGTATAGTGTAAAAAGTATCAACTTGGGTGTTATAAGTGACAGCAGTAATATAAAGGTTGGTATATATTATAGGGAAGTGTGGATCCTTCTGTTATTTTGTAGTTCTGTTATGTCTAGTGGTTTTCAAGCAAGAAAAAGTAACTCAAATGCTGATAATGCATTTTTTGCTCATACTATTTCTGCATATCTTCCTTTAGTTTCTTTATCTGCTTTTGCTTTCCTGCATGATGGCAGAATAAAAATATACCACACACACAAACATATACAGATGCATATATACACTAATAATATAATAATAATACTTTTTCACACACTTATTCACAAATAAATCAAATATATTCTATAGAATATATAATACAGGATTAACAACCAAAAATTCCTACTTGCAGATTTAAAATTCAAACTGAAAGACCTCACTAAAACATAAGGCTAAGCTATTAATCAAATTTATAAGCCTTTAGGTCATACATCCATATTCCCTCCTCTTGTGTGGTCAAAGGTAGAAGAACAGAAGTTTTGTTAACTTTTTTTCCCCTGTTAAGCACAGTTTAGGGTTGTTTTGAAGTAATGCTCAGTTGTGGTCATTTGTAACAGAATGAAACATTTCAATTCTCCTCAGAGTTGCTATAGAGGTAGGGGAAGCCGAGTGCCTTCTCTTTGGGCACTATTGCTTCAGAGGTGACCTGATCACTGCTCCTTCAGTAAAAAGTCTGTGCAACTGAAATCTCTTTTGTTTGGATTTCTGAAACCTTGATTCTGAGTATAGCATTTTTTTTCCTATTTATTACATGAGCACCACATGTTCATACAGCTGGACTGATTGATCCAGTGCATTTAATTAGGTTCCATTCAAAATTCCTGTAGAAACAAAACTTTTGTATTTGTCACTCTTACATTACTCATTTTAATTAGTAATTTGAACACCACACTGCAATTCTGCACAATATTATAACTCTGGTATATTTCAATAACGCTCATAAAATTTGGAGAAAATATGCTTGAAATTTGGGGGAAACATAAATCTTTTGAAGTCAGGTCTCTTTGGTGTCTATTGTTAATTATTCATAGAGTAGCCCATCTTACATCATGTAGTTTGCCTCATCTCTCTCTGCAGAAACTACATTTGAAAAATATTTCAAAGAAACAAATTACCTGGCGATTTGATCTTGATGCTTCAGGCAAAGCAGTAGATGATGGTATCTTCAAATTCAGTTTACATGCTGGGTTTCTCTATCCAGGACAAAATACAGCTATTACTATATGCTTCTGCCCATGTAAGAATTTGTTTTCCTTTCTATTCTGTATATGTTTAAATCAATTTTGTATATTGAAGATTCCACATTTGAAAT